TTTTTAAAGTAGTTAAAATTAAAAAAAAAAAGCTTAATGTGTGGGTAGGAAGGAGCCATAACAAAAAATAGAAGCCTCATACCCAAAGGTCCTGAATAAGGACAAGTTTAGGGTGTTCAAGGAAGTAAAAACTTACCTGAAGGTAAAGTCCATAACCATAAAGATCAGAAGAGACAAAATGGTATCAAGTATAGAAGGCCGGCCTAGCCTATGCTATGAAGAGGCTGACAAATATGCCCAAAAATAAACAACCAGGAGAGGACAAAATTGATGAATGAGACCTTCTAAAGATTACATTCCTAAAAAAAAAAAAAAAAAAAAGATTACATTCCTGTACTCAAAAAACTTTTTCAAACAGGGTAAAAAAAAAAGTCCTACTGACTGGGAAAAATCATTTGGCTATATAATTTCAGACAATGGTCTCATAATCAAAATTTACAGAATAAATACTACAGTATCTCCACAAAAAAGGACTGAAAACCCAATTACAAAATGGGCAAAAGACATCGGAACTTTTAACAAAGGACATGATGCTTAAAATCACTTGCAATAAGAGAGATGCAATCAAAACTACAATGGAATACCATCACATCCCAGGAGCATTGAGCAAAGTTTAACAGGACAGCAAGCAATAAATGTTGGCGAAGATGTGGGGAGATTGGAACTTTTATATACTGATGGGAAATGGTACAACCCCTCTGGAAGGCAATTTGGCATTTCCTCAAAAAGTTCAACATAGAAACACCATATAACCCAGCTATTTCACTACTAGGAACATACCCTAAGGAAATTAGAATTGAGACACAAACGGAGATTTGTGGACCAATGTTCATAGAAACATTATTCACCACTGCAAAAACATGAAAACAATCCTCATGTCCAACCACAACTGAATTGAGAAATTTTAGTACATTCATCTAATGGAATATAATGTAGCACTCAGGAGCAATAATTTTAAAAAGTACTACATAACTTGAGAGAGATTAGAAAGAATTTGGCTGAGCGAACTAACTCTATCTCATCATAAGGACAAACACTCTGTAATTATAAAATTAGAAAAATAACAATGGGGGAAATTATGTGAACAAAGGAATGAGAATAGTGAGGGGAGAAATCACAGGGTTGAACAATTTGGTGGATGAAGAGAGGGGATCAAAGAGTTGGGAAAGATCTTGTGGGGACCTGAAAAGATGAGATAATGATATGCATAGTTCAATGGTGATTAATATTATAAAACACAATGCATGGGAATGATTAAATGAAGTATTATGTCAATGAAGAAAAGCATGAAGCTAAATGTACAGGAATTTTGAAGGAAAAAAATGCCCATGAATTTTAAAAAAGAGAAAAAAACTAATAATCTGTATTAGTGAGAGGGAAGAGTGGTAGAGGCTACAGATTGAAATGTAAACAAGGAAAATTGTGTCAACCCTTATCAGCCCGATGTGTAGTTTGGACTTGACTGTCAAAGGAGTTATACATCAATTAGAATTTTAAGAAAATGTCAATTTAGATTAATCTATTAAAAAGATCATGCTGACTGACAATAATGTGGGAGCAAGAATAAAAACAAAGAACCAATTAGACAGTGTCATGGATTGAATTGTGTCTCCCCCAAAATATGTGTATGTAATAATGTAATGTGGAAGCTATGTAACAATATCAAATCCCCATGATTTGATAAACCATGGAGTTGTAAAAGGGTTAAAAGTTAAATGCAACATCCTCATTACCATAGAGCCCTGATCCGTAGAAAGACAATTTCTCTGGGATGTATCCTATAATATCTTTCATCTCACAATAGACAAAAAGGAAGAAAACAAATAGAGAGGGCCTTTAGGTCTACCAAGAAAGAAGACAAGGAGTGGAGTACATCCTTTGGATCCAGATTCATGAAGTGAGGAGTTCCTGACACAGTGAAAGGCAAAGACATAGAGACCCCAAAGGATGACTAAGCTCACAGATGCTGAAGAAACAAAAGCTTTCCTCTTGAACTAACAGAGGCAGTCTTCTCCTAGAGCTGGCATCCTGAATTTGGAGTCCTAGCTTCCTAAAGTGTACCATTCTATTTGTTAGAACCACCCTCATATGGTACAGTTTTTATTTCTGATGTTATCTATTGTCAAGTCAGAACCAACCGAGGGTTTTCAGAGACAGTTTAATCACACTGGAGGAAATTGCCCATCTTTCTCCCACAGAGAAACTGGTGGATTTGAATCAAGTGCCTTCAGGATTACAGCACAATGCCTTAACCGTAGGCCACCTACAATAAATAAGAATTTGATATTGAGAGTGAGGAACTCTAACAGATGTCTAAAATATGGAGGTGGCTCTGGAACTGCATACTGAGTAGAAGAAGCTGGAAGGATTTCAAGGTGCATGAAAGCCTGGATTGCCTTGAAGAGAGTGTTGTTAGAATTATGGTAAAGGCTCAGAAGGAAGAGAGAAGAATTTAAACACTGGAGACAGAATGGATTACAAGAGAAACATTGGCAGAAAAACAACTACAACAGATCCTGGGGACTTGTGCAAATTGGAGACTGACGCTCAGTTATCCTTCTATTTTGACAATAGTGGCCTTGTGCAATATTTATCCTTATGTGACTGAGATATTTCACTCAGAATAATGCTCTCCCATCTTTTTCAGGTTATATAGTAATTTATGAAATTGTGGCTCTTAGTGCTGCACAGTATTCCATTGTATGACTATACTACAGTTCCTAAATCCATTTGTTTGTTGATGATTACATGCAAACAATTTTTTGTGTGTGTGTGAAAGGAAAAAAAAAAAGATGGAAGCTAATGGAAGACAGCATAGAGGCTGATCCACAGCATATGAGAGTTGAGTGCATTTGAGCAGGAGACTTCTTGGTGGAATGAGATACTTCCATGTACTTGCCAATGCAGAGAGACTTGCAAGCCCCCAGAACTAGAGAGCCTGATGCCTTTTAGTCAAGGATTATTGAAGGAGTGGTATTGCTTCACTCTGTTTGCATTTTTCTTAACAAAGTAAAAGACCTTTGTAATACCTACCTGAGCAGGGCAGAGACAACGCTGACAACTAGAGCCAGGAAGGAGATGAAAGGACAAGGAGCATGGGAAGCAGGGATACTTATGTCTCAAAGGGTTAGGTCATTATTATCTTTGAGGTGTCAGTGTGTGGAGCCATAACTACTCAGATTTATAAAGGTGAAGTCAAGGTTTCTTAAATGTCAAAGAGTCTGATTTTTATCAACTTAATTATGGAGTGTGGAGCTAACATTAAAATGGAGGCACCACACAAAACTGAGGTAATGAGGCTGACATACGCAAGGAATCAGAAGAGTCCAGCTGGCCTGGAAAGACATGGAATCAGATCAGGATAATAGATCAGTTTAGGAGAATAGGTCTACCCAAAGCTGACATCTTCAAGTCACTGTCCCAGTGAACCTGGAAAGCAGTACTGAAGCCCATGGCCAAGAAATTCCTCCATCTCCAGGAATTCAGATATCCAAAATCTGTGACCAAAATCTACAGTTTGGATGACAGAGCCATTGCCTAGATGTTCTCAGAAAACAGAGATTCCCCCCCCCCCAAGTTTTAGAAGCTAATATAAATTGTTTTGCTGGGTATTTACTTAATCCATACTATTATCCCTTTTTTGCCCTCTAATTTCTCCCATTTGTAATGGAAATATTTTCATTGTAATTGTTTCACCATTTTTCTTTGAAAGAAGATAGATAATTGTATTCTAGATTCACAAATAAAGAAGAATTTGTGGTAGAATGGAACTTGAACTTAAAGGTGCTCTAAGATTTTGGAAATAGGTTCATGGAATAATAAAAGTATTTTGCATGTGGCAAGAACATGAATTTAAGGAGAAGAAAGGGAGGAATGCCATGAATTTATTTGTGTTGCTAAAATATTTGTATATAATGCTATAATCAGGAAGTTATACAATAATTCCCACAAAGTAGCAAACTAAGTAATTTTAATGGTGGAGTGCAACATCCTTAATCCCATCACAGCCCTAATACATGCAGAAGAAGTTCTCTTTGGGGTTGGTCTATACCACTTTTCATCTCACAAGAATAAAAAGGGAGGAAAACAAATAGAAAATGAAGCCAAAAGTTAGTCTATCTATAAAGAATTACTAAGAGTGGAGCTAGTCTTTTGGACCTAGGTCCCTGCGCTGGAAAGTTCCTCAACAGAAGAAAAAGTGAAGACATAAGGAGGGAACTATGATGCACCTAAGGCATACAATATACAACTGCTTCATAGATTTTTTTTAGGTTGTTAATCTTTCAGAAGCAGATCACTAGACCAGACACTTCTAAGTGGGTTTGAACTGTCAGACTTCCATTTAGTAGCCCAGTGTTTACCCATTTGTGCCACCTATGGACTTATCATACTTTTTCAGGTTTATAAATTGCTACCAGTGAAGGAGTTGCCAAGAATTGCAAATGAAGTCATTGGACAGTGCATCCGTCCTGAAGATCTAGCTAAGAATGGCATTGTGCACACACAAATGCAGATTCTCGAAGAAGATGATGTCTTCAGTATCTTTAAGGTAGTTCTTTTTACCTAGAAAAATAATCAAAATTCACTCTTATGTCTCTGTTAAAATAGCAAATACATAGGCTTCTAAATTCTAGAATCTTCTTATCTCCCTCCTCTAATCAATCTATGGTTCACAAACATGTATTATTTATCATATATTATATCCACGTCACAGAGGCACCTGAGATACATTCAAATATTACAGTATCAATTTCCCTGACTTCTTAAAAAAATGAGGGGTTTTTTTTTGTTTTTTTTAAATGAGTTTATTTTTAGTGCTCAAAACTTTAACTACATTGACCCTGAATCTAATCACCATTTTTATATTACCCTCTCTCTGTAACTCAAGGAAATTTTAACATTGGAGAGAACCAAACAAACATACAAACCGAAAAGTATGTTTCATAGTGTGTCTAGCAGGTCTAAAAGGATATTTTGTTGGCCGCCTTATTATGTCAGTTCATTCCATGATAAATAGTTGCAAAATGATAGAATATACAAAGTATAATACTTTATTCTTCACTTTTAGTTTAGTAAAACTTTTGTAAAGTGGGAAGTAGCTTCCCAACAAAAAAGGATTACAAAATATGTCTAAAATTATAGCATAAAAAAATTGAAAAATGTTAGCATATTTCAATAAACATTTCCAGCCTTAACTATTACTAGGCATGATTATGAAAGAGAACTTCAACCATGTTCAGAGTTTAATAGCTACCAAAAATGGACTAATAACTCTCATAATGCCTTAAAGAAAACATAGTTCTTTCTTCTAATACCAGGGTTACAGAACTCCAAAGAAAAAGTGTGTACCATACCGAGTCGTTAATCAAAAAGGTCAGCAGTTTGAATGCACCAGGTGCTCTAAGAAGAGAATGTTTGACAGTCTGCTTCCATAAAATATTTTAATCTCAGAAAAAAATATAAGGTCAAGAGAGTCAGAATCGACTGGATGTCAGTGGGTATGGTTTAGGGGGCGGGTAGTTGATGTTAATATTGGTCAGCTGGTTAGAGCACATTAATTTTCTTGAATCTTTGGAGTCAAAAATCATTGGAGTGAGGGAACAAGGATGAAAGAGAACCCTTTAAATTTATCATTGATTAGTTATTTAAACTTTAAACTTTTATATTCTGACCTTTTCTTCTCTATTCCATACCATTACCACCACTAACAATCATGACTTAAATCCAGTTTCCCAGATACTCTAAGATAAAACAGTAGGGTATTGTCTATATATGACTATCACTGTTCTGGTGCCGTAGTCTGAGAAAAATTTAGCTCTATTCCAGAGCCTGGTTTATCCAGCAGTTGAAATTCACCAGTAACTCTGAGAGAAAAAGATGGGCAATATTCTCTTTTTAAGGTTTAAAGCCTTGCAAACTCAACTGGAAGGTTGCTTTGAGTTGGGACTGACTCAGTGGCATTAACTTTGATATTACTGAAGAAAGATAAATCTGCAAATATGGAAGTTTTAGGAATCATGATGCTGTAGATATCTGAAGAAATTATAGGGAAGGAAAGAATACAAATGACAAAAAGTTTGATTTGAGCATGTGTATTCAGGAAAAGGTACACCTTCCAATAAAACATAAATAAAGCAAAATTTACTAAGGTCATGAAGAAAAATATGCACAAGATTGCCTAAAACCAATATTGTTGTTGTTGTTATGTGCCGTCGAGTCGCTTGCGACTCATAACGACCCTATGTACAACAGCCCTAAACCCTGCTCTATCCTGTGCCAATCTCACTGCCTCTGACACATCCATCCCGATTACCCCAGTCACTGAATCAGTCCACCTCATAGAGGGTCTTCCCCTCCTGCACAGTCCCTCCACTCTGCCAAGCATGATGTCCCTCTTCAAAGACCTGTCTCTCCTTACAATATGTCCAAAGTATGTCAGGCAAAGCCACAGAATCCTTGCCTCCAAGGAGCAGCCTGGTTTAACCCTCTCTAGGATGAATCTATTTGTTTTCTTGGCAGTCCATGGTACATTCAATACTCTTCTCCAGCAACACAGCTCAAAGGCATCAATTCTCCTTCTCTCCTCCCTAGTCATTGTCCAACTCTCTGATGCATAACAAGTGATTGCAAAAACCATGGCCTGTATCAGGCGCACCTTAGTCTCCAGAGAGACACCGTTGCTCTTGAGTACTTTAGAGAGGTCCCTAACAGAAGACTTTCCCATCGCAATACGTTTTTTTATTTCCTGGCTACTGGTGCCAAGAGTGTTGACCCTGGAGCCGAGCAAACTGAAGCCGTGAACAATCTCAATCTCTTCACCATCCATCCTGATGCTACCGATTGGTCCAGTAGTGAGAATTTTTGTCTTCTGGACATTGAGCCTCAGTCCATATTGAAGGCTGCAGTCCTTGATCCTCTGCAGTAAGTGCATGAGGTCCTCCTCAGTTTCAGCGAGCAGGGTTGTGTCATCTGTATAACGCAGATTGTTGATAGATCGTCCACCAATCCTAACGCCAAGCTTCTCCTCATAGAGCCCTGCCTCTCGGATAATCTGCTCTGCATACAGGTTGAAAAGGTATGGAGACAGGACACATCCCTGGCGTACACCCTTCCCAATTTTGAACCATGCAGTGTTGCCCTGCTGTGTTCTGACTACTGTCTCTTGGTCCAAGTATAGGTTTCGCATTAACACGATTAAATGTTCTGGGATTCCCATTCTTCTCAGAGTCAGTCACAGTTTGTTCTGATCCATGAAGTCAAATACATTTGCATAATCGATGAAACACAGATAGACATTCTTCTGCTATTCTCTGCTTTCAGCTAAGATCCATCTAACATCAGCTACAATATCCCTAAAAAGGAACAAAAAAATTACTCTGTGCAATAAAGTCCCGGGGATATATGTATAAATGTGTATATGGGTAAACATATGGAGGCATAAATCAAGATAAAAATTGTTATTTGAGGATGACAGGACTAAATGCTCCATTTCCTAGATATTTTATAACTAAAATAACACCAGAAAATAGTAGAAAAATTCTGATATAGGAATCAGGATGTATGTTATAATCGTGAAAAGTAATATAAATGAAATTGTCTACATACATTAACCATTAATGTTTTCTCCAGTCTGCAGGATTGCATATTTTTACCAATTCAAAAATCCATAAACCAAATATTTGTCGACCTCACCTGCCAGTGGTTGATAATTATGACTCATATCCTATGGGCATAGCACAAGGTAAGAATGTGATCTCTTTGTCCTATAAAATAATAGAAGTTAATAGAGTATTTTGCTAGTGGGATAAAGATACTTCTTTTTCAAGTATTGGACCAGTTGACTATTGTTAAATTACTCTCAAATAATGTTTTACCCCAGTTTTTGTTTTTAACCAATAATTGTTATTCTATAGCTCTATAGGCCTAGTGGATAGAAAGTTATGCCATCAAGCCAAAGATGGGTGATTTTAATCTGTGGCCCTCAGGCCTGCTTTTAATTGTTTTTGGTCAAATAGTCTTCTAAGAGGCATAACACTAGTCTGTCCATTTGCTGTATCGAAGTAATTGTCATTTCTGTGATGCTAAACACAGTGACACTGATGTTTCAAGGGTAATAATGGTGGACAGGTTTTGGTGGAGCTTCCCAATTAAAGCAAGCTCGGGAGCAGGAGTGGCATCCACTGCTGAAATAGCTTGCCTCCAGAGACTATGAAAGCTATACAAGTGGTCAGGACTTTCTTTCCTAGGGTCGCTATGAGTCATTTATGACTCAACAGCACTTAACAACAACAACAACATGGTCTGATTTAGGCCATGATTTTTCTGATCACTTGCTATTCATCCAAGAACTGGACAATGAATATGGATGACAAGAACAATTGATGCCTTTGTACTATGATGTTAGAGAAGGGCACCGAACATCCTATGCACGAGCAACAAACAAAAAAATATGTCTTAGAAAGAGTGCAGTTGCAGTGCTCCTCAAAGGCAAGAATGATGAGACTCACCTCACATACTTTGGGCATGTTGCTAGGAGGAGTGATTCCTTAGAGAGTGACTTGACGCTTGGAAGGGTGGAGGGAAGTCAAAGGAGAAGTCCTTAACTAGGTAGATTGACACAGTGGCTGCTGCAATGGGCTCTAGTGTGTCAGGAATAGTGTGGATGGCACAGGATAGGGTGGAGTTCAAATCCATTGTTCAAAGGGTCGCTCTGAGTTACACTCAACACCTAACAAGAACAACAATAAACTCATGACATCAAAGTTATCTACTTTTCATCAAGCTTTCAGTAGTATATCTAAGTCAGACTTTCCTGTGTTTCATAAAATTAATTACCATTATATAAAATATCTGACAAATACAGCCAGAAATACACAACCAGGAAAAGATAAAATGTATTCAAATTCCTGTGTGCATCGAAAACTTTTTCCAAGAGGGTGAATGAAAACATACATACTGGGGAAAAACATTTGGCAATAACATCTCAGACAAAGGTATCGAAACAAAAGTTCACAGAATCATATAGGGCCTTCTTAAAAAAAAAAAAGACTGATAACACAATTACAAAATGGTCAAAAGATATGGAAAGGCTTTTTGCAGAGGAAGATATTTTTATGGCTAACATATGTGAAGAAATGCTCTAAATCACTAGCAATAAGAGAAGTAAATCAAAACCACAATTAGAAACATCTCACCCCTGTAGCAGTGGCAAAGTTTAACAGGACAGCAAGTAATACATGTTGTAGAGAATGAGGACAGATAGGAACTCTCATGCATTGTTGGTGGAATTTTAAAACGGTACAACCACTCTTGAATGCAGTCTGACATTTCCTCAAAAAGCTGAACATAGAAATTCCACATGACCCAGCCATTCCACTGCTTCAAATATATGCCAAGAAAATAAGAACTGAGATACAAATGGAGATTTGTACACCAATGTACATAGCAGTGCTATTCACCCTCGCAAAAACATGGAAAGAGCTCAAATGTCCAACCACAATAGAATGGATTGTGAAATTGAGTTACATTTACACAATGGGATACTACACAGCACTCAAGAGCAATGATTTGAAAATCATTACATAATTGGAGAGGAACTGGAGAGCATTATGCTGAGTGAACTAACTCAGTCTCATAAGGAAAAATACTGTATAAGACCATTATTGTAGAAAGATAGCTAGTATAATGTGTATAAGGATTCTAGAATGGGAGGGTAGGAGCAGAGGGGTGGGGATGGGCAGGGGCTTAATCACAAAGTTGCATAATTTGATAGGTGAAGGGAGGGTTGGGTAAAGGAAATGGGAACGTTCTGGTGCGGATCTGGAAAAAAAGGGCAATGATGGGCATTATTCACTGTTGATTAATTTTATAAAATATAATGAATGGGAATGATTGTCTAAACAATGATTGTCTAAACACAATGTGAATGAAAAATAGTGTGAAACAACATATATGAACTTTGAAATTAAACTAATATATTTCTTTTTACTTTAAAAATAAAGCACACTTATATAATATTTGGGGCATATACTCACAGATTCAGAATAGGTATGTTCTTATTTCTGGATTATCAAGCTATTTTTTTTAATCAAGCTAAACTCTGCTTTAACAGATATAGTGTATTTAAGCATGCCTTCACTGGTTCTGTGTGTACATATATATTGTGTTTAAGTTGAAATAAACTCATAGCTGACCTTCAGTGGATTATCAGGGGCTGAAAATCACACAAAAGGTGATTGGTCATCTGATGGAGTCAAACTGATGGTTAGGATTGGCAGAGCAACTTCTTATCACTAGTGTTTGGGTTCTTTTTTTTTTCTTTCTTTCTCTGTGTACATATGGGACATTTTGAATTAGAGAAGCATGTGATCTACTATGCTTGAAATGAACAGGTGAAAGGAAACAGGGTAGCACTCATAGTTAAAAAGACCATTTCTCGATCGATCTTGAAATACAGTGTTGTGAGCGACAGGAAAATATCCATGTAGATATGAGAAAGACCTATTAATACCACTCTCATTCACAATTATGTACCAAAAAAAAAGAGCCAAAGAGGAGGAAATAGGTGACTTCTACTAACTGTTGCAACAGGAAATTTATGTATATCAAATATTCAGGCAAGATATTTTGATAATAATGGGTGACTAGAATGCAAAGTTGAGAACAAGGAAAAGGGATTGGCAGTTGGGAAACATGGACTCAGTGACAGGAATTAGGATAGAAACAGCATGATAGAATTATGTACAATCAATGATTTACTCATTACAAATACATTTCATAAAAAACACACGTGGTGACTATACCCAGGGAACTCACCTGACAGTGTACACATGATTCAGATTGATTACATATATGGGGAAAATCTTTGGAGAAGTAGAATATCAGCTGTGAAAATAAGGCCAGATGCTGACAATGGATTAGACCATCATCAACTTGTAAGGAAGTTCTAACTAAAGCTAAAGAAAATCAAATCAAATCCACAAGAACTGAAGTTTGATCTTGAGTCTCTCCCTCCTAAATGTGAAAACCATCTCTGGAACATGTTTGGGGCCTTGAATACTAATAAGCAAAGACCAGATAGCTGTGGAAGTATGCAAAAGGTGATTACAAAGACAGCAGAAGAAGAAAAGCTAAAATGGATGATAGAAGAGATTATGAATAATCATGAAGCCAAAGCAAAGGGAAGAAATCAAGAAATTAAGAAGAACAGAAGATTGCAAAGGGAAGCATGGGAAGGCAAAACAGTGGATTATAATAAAATGTTCAAAGATCTGGAGTTGAAAAATGAAAAGGGACAAACTCACTCAGCACCTCTTAGGCTGAAGTAACTGAAGAACAATTTCAAGCCTAGAGTTACAGTACTTAAGGATGCTGTGGACAGAATATTGAATGACACAGGAAGCATTAAAAGATGGAAGGAGTACAAAGATTCAACGTACTAAAAAGAATTGGCTAACAAAGAATAATTTAATGAAACAACCTGTGATTAAGAGCCTATAGTGATAAAGAATAAAGTTCAAGCTGCTCTGAAGAAATTGGCAAAAAATCAAGGTCCCAGGAATTGATGGCATACCAATTGACATATTTAAACAACCATATGCTGTCCTGGTCACACTCACTACGTTATGCCAAGAAATCTGGAGGACAACCACCTGGCCAATTGAATAAAAGAAATCTATATTTGTTCCTATTTTAAAAAAAAAGGTCACCAGAGTGTGGAAATTATCAAACAATATCATTAATATCACATGTAAGTAAGATCCAGCAGAAAATTATCCAAAAACACTGGAACAGCACATCAACAGAGAATGGCCAGATGTGCAGGCTGGGTTTAGAAGAGACCATGTCACTAGGGACATCTTTGCCAATGTTAGATGGATCTTGGCTAAAAGGAGAGAGTACCAGAGGAATGTCTGTGTTTCATTGACTATGCAAAAGCATTTGACTGTGTGGATAACAACAAAACATGGCTAACTCTGAGAAGAATGGGAATCCCACAAAACCTGAGTGCTTATGCAAAAACTACTTGGACCAGGAGGCAGTTGTCAGAACAGGGAAAAGGAAACACTGCATGGTTCAGGATCTGGAAGGGTGTAAGCAAGGGAGTGTCCTATCTCCATAGCTTTTCAATCTATATTCAGAGCAGATAATTCAAGAAGCAGAGCTTTAATGAGGAGGAATGTGACATCAGGATTGGAGGAAGATTCATCAGCAACTTGTGTTATGCAGACGACACAATTCTGCTTGCTGAAACTGAGGATGATCTAAAGCACTTACTGCAGCAGGTCAGTGATTGCAGCCTTCAATATGTATTGAAGCTCAACATCAAGAAAACAAAAAGTCTCACCACTGGGCTGAAAGGCAACATCATGATAGACCATGAAGAGTTTGAGATTATTGATAGCTTTAGTTTGCTTGGCGCCACAATAAACACTCTTGGTACTAACAGCCAGGAAATCAAAAGATGCACTGAACTGAAAAAGTCTGCTGTCAGGGTACTGAAGAGCGATGATGTCAGTCTGGAGACTGAGGTGCTCTTGATCCAAGCCATGGTTTTTGCAATTACTTCATATATGTCAGACAATGACTAGGGATGATAGAAGAAGAATTAATACCTTTGAGCTGATCATATACACTGCTTTGAAAACTGGCTGGTCCTAGAGAGAGTGAAACAAGACTGCTCCTTGAAGGCAAGGATTCTGAAGCTTCATCTAGGCATGTTGCAAGGAGGGAACAATCCTAGGAGACAGACATCATGCTTAGGAGGTTGGAGGGACAGCACAAGAGAGAAAGACCCTCAATGACAGGAATAATGGAGGTAGGTGTGTCAGAGATCATAAGGTTGGTGCACGGTAGAGCAGAGTTCAGAGGTGTCATATATAGGGTCACTATGAGTTGCAAGTGACTTAACAGCACTTATCAATAATATTAACTATTGCCTAAGCAAATAATCTCATCCTGCCTATTTATCAGAAATTAATGTCTGTCATTAATAGACATTAATGATAAGAATTAAGCTTGCACTGAGCACTATGTCTTGTTTCCTTATTTCCATAGACCAGCTTCAAAGCCCTGGTGTTGGTGGAATTGTTCAACCTATAATACCGCATAGACCTGTAGAAATTGTCCAAGAGATTATCCGGAAGTATTTCCCCGAGACCTGGATCTGGGAATTGGTTGTACTCGAGTAAATATTCTCTTGAATTTTATTTAGGAGATTTGTACCCTTCCTATAATCCTGTGTTACCCTTGCCTCCAGGTTTCCTTTCAGAACTAGTCCACTTTTCTTGAGCAAATAGTTAGGTTCACGGTTCAACTATTTAACAGCTAACCAATGCAGGTTTGTTGAGATTTGGTTCCTGAGCTATCTAAAATAGTAGAGAATGGGAAACTACACATTCTACTCCCTCTCCCCTCCCCCCCAAAAAAAGCCTCTCTGAGCATCATTAAAGGGCCAAACTGTAGGTCAAGGTCAAGTTTAATATATACTAGAACATCAAATTTATTACCACTGAGTCAATTCTAACTTATAGTAACCCTCTGGGACAGACTAGAACGTTCCTATCAGTTTCCAAGGCTGTAAATGTTCACTGACTTAGACCATCATTTTTTCCACAGAGTAACTGGTAGGTTCAAACAGCCAACCTTTCACTTAGCAGCTAATTTGTTTAACCACTGTGCAAACAGGACTCATTTTACCATACTAAGTGCTTAACTATGGTCTAAGGTCAGCTACAAGGATTTATTCAATCTCCTTCTTCTTCTTCCCCTCCCCCCCTTAACTAGTTCATCAGGTGAAAGTGAGATGGCAGTGAAAGTCCCTGACACCATCACGGAATGGAAGGCCAGTGCATTCTGCTTGTCCAAAACAACAGGACTTGGCCTCTATCCCATCATCTCTCTACAAGCCTTCCAACCATTCTTCCTAGAACTTACTCTCCCCTACTCTGTGGTGAAAGGAGAAGCTTTCACATTGAAAGTCACTGTGTTCAACTATTTGTCGTATTGCATTCAGGTAAGGGACTATAGAAATGAATCAAAGTAGAAGGAAGAACAATGACCATCACTCATTACTAGCGTCTCTGGTCTCAAAGGTAAATCATAATTTAATATATTGTATTCTAACATTTGGGTTTAGGTGCCCTGGTCACTGTAGGGAAAGCATTTAGCTACTAATCAAAAAATCAGCATTTCAACTAGCTCATCTACAAGATAAAGATGAAACCATCTTCTTCCATAAAGATAGATGCCTTGGAAACCCTAGTCCTGCTAGGTCCTACAGGATTGCGATGAATCAGAATCAATGTGGTGACAATGGGTCAGCCTTCTTAATTTTGGAAATACTAAAAAGAAATAAGTATTAAGAGCTACGTGCCAATTTCAAAATCACAACATTATATGTACTCAACCCTCTGTAATTGTCTCTTCCTAAGTTCAAATATTTTCACCTTATTATTTCACTTTTAAACAGTGACTAAAGGAAATAGATATTCCTGTGTTGACACACATTTTAAATCCTGGAAATTCCTTATTCTAATTCTTGTCAGTTGTTCAATATCCTTATTGAAATCACCTAATCTAAAAAGTATTTGATAGGCTTTACCTTGACTGAAATTGTAAGCTTCATATGTCACTAGATACCACGGTACTTTGTGATCAGTTACTAACCTGGCTGACATTTCACACTCTCACAGCAGAGTCACCAAAGACAGACCTGCTGAACCATTTCACAAAGGTCACACAGTCAGTCAGACTTGATGGAATTACTTCTTCTCTGTAACACATGGGGTTCAGGATCAGCTTCATGCCATCAGGCCTCTGGATTAGCATACACTGTCCCCTGAGCTTCTTTCCCTACAGCGGGCCCTATAACTGACCCCATCATCTGCTTGTGTTCTCAAATGTGTGCATGGGTATGGGTAACAGGTCCATGTGACGCTGGAAGACTCATCTGCCTTCCTCGCTGTCCAAGAGGAGAATGCAGACTCTTACTGCATATGTGAAAATGGGAGGAAAACTGTGTCCTGGGCTGTGACCCCAAAGTTCCTAGGTGAGTGATAAAGGTGTTGACGCATTTCACCTCTTACATTCTAGTGATTTACTGTCCACTCTGACTTGCTTCAAAAGGAGAAACTATTAAATATAAAGTTACTGTTTAACCATTATCCCCTCTCCCTCTAGGAAAGGTGAATTTCACAGCATCAGCAGAAGCTGTACACTCTCAGGAATTATGCAACAAAGAAGAATCTAAAATTCCACCATTTGGAAAGAAGGATACAGTAATCAAGTCCTTGTTAGTGGAGGTATCTGAGTAACAAGTTTTCTCTGAATCTTAGAGGATCTATTTTATAGTATGTTGGTGGTTGTTACTGTGTACCATCAAGTCGGAACTGGCCCATAGCTGACAGGTCTTCAGAGGCAGTTAAATGCACAGGAGGAGATTACCCATCCTTCTCCCATGGCACAGCTGTTGGACTTGAACTGTGTGCCTTTAGGATTGATTGCAGCATAGCTGTTATGGATCTCTGGTGGTTTAGCAGTAAGGGGGTGCACTGTCAACCCAAAGGCACACAGAAAGACAGACATTCTCCTCCCATTCTACTTATTGCCTTCAAAAACCCACTGAAGCTGAGTCTGTTCCACCTTGATAATACATAACAACAACAACAATTTATATAGGAATCTTAGATAATGCAAATATTACAGTGTTCTACAACCATCAAAAAGTTCAAAACTATGCAGAGGCACCTCTGAAGCTGGTTTTATTGTCTGCTTCCAAAAGGCCACAGACTTGAAAACCCTGCAGATCATAGATCTACTCAACTCACATTAGGTCCCCATGAAAGCAAGTAGCAACAATGTGTATGTTACAAATATGATATGTCATTTTCAAGAATATGGCTGTATCTACAACTCAATTTTTCACTATCATTTCCTCCTCTATTTTAAAGTGATTGGGGTTTTTTTACCCTAAATATTCTATATCACTTTACTTTTTTTTTCTTAATATAAAGCCTGAAGGAATAGAAAAGGAAGAAACTTTCAACACACTGCTCTGTGCATCAGGTATGTATCAAAAATAGACAAAATTCCCAAGAAAGGCCACTTTTTAAAGACCATTTTTATTTTTTAAAGACCTTCAATTCACCGCTATATACAGAAAACCAGTATATTATTAATTCCCATTCATTTAATCATATAAAGATTAGCCTTACAAAAATTAAACTCTAAACCATCTAGAATCATCTTGAGGACAACGATCTGTCTGCAGATTATCTCTTTTATCCTTAAGTACTTCATAATGATTTCATCTGTTCAAATAACTTTATAAGCAACTCTGCTCTGAAGACTACAATATTTATATCTTAACCATTTGTATATATATATTTTTTTAAAAAAAAAATAGGTTCTGAAGTTCCTGAAAAGTTGTCTCTAAAAGTTCCCTCAAATGTGGTTGAAGGATCTACCAGGGCAACATACACAGTTGTGGGTAAGTATTCTAAACCAAAGGACGCAGCTTCCATCTCTATAATGCCAGGGCATGGGTCTCACCATCCATGTAAATGAAGTCCCTGATACCAGACAGGGTTTTGAGAGAAAGAGCACTAAGTCTAGGATGTTGTTGTTGTTTACAATAAAGTCGAAACCAGCTCACAGCTGACCCTCTGGCGGGTTTTCAGAGGCCATTCATCACATGGGAGATTGACATCCTTCTTTCGCAGAACAGGAGCAGCTGATGGCCTCAAACAGCAAGTCTTCGGGATCGCAGTGCAGCTTCTTGCCACTAGGCCACCAGAGCTCTCTTTCTAAGATAAAATTTTTAATAAATATTGTGCTAAGATTTACTGGTCAGAAGCAGAAGTTGTATCCACTTCCTAAATAGCATGTCTCTGGAAGCTCTATGAACTTTGATAAATGACATCTTTATAGGAAGGCCTTTGTTCATAGGGTTGCTATGAGTTGTGCTCGACTCCATGGCAATCAAGAACAACTCCATTTACTGGAGTCTAAAAATAAGCAGGATCACCTTTATATGCCCTCATATCTTCAAAAGACTGACAAGGTGACAAAACTTCCTAGTACATTTGAAAATAATTGTTACCAGACAAGTGGCCTAGCAGATGATTTTATCTCTTGTCTTTATATTTCTTCCTTATTTGCTCTTTGAGCCACGTATTTTATGTTTCTCATTTCCCTTTTCTTTCTTCACTTCTTGTGCTTTCTGGTCTCCACTTCCATAAGAGGAACCTCTCAGCTAATAATGTATTTCATATGCCAATACAGGAGTGGCATCCACTTCCAAAATGGCTTCCCTACAGAAACTGTATATATGAACAGTGCTCAGGCCTTTTGTTCATAGGGTCGCTATGAGTCGTCTATGATTCTAACAACAACAACAACAATACAAATCATCTCTGAATTCCTCTGACTTTTTATTTTTCTTTTCATTCCTAGGTGACATACTAGCTTCTGCAATGCAAAACCTCCAGAATCTTGTCCAAATGCCCTATGGCTGTGGAGAGCAGAATATGATTCTTTTTGTCCCTAACATCTATGTTCTGACCTATCTGAAAGTGACACAGCAGCTAACAGAGGAGATTAAGTCCAAAGCCATCAGCTATCTCAACAGTGGTGAGATCTTAACCCAAAAGGAGAAGCCGTAATTGGTCCCTTATTATATCCATGGGTAAACTCAAACAGCATCCCTCTGATTAATATTGATAGTTATTTGTTGCTGTTATATCCAATGAAACAAACCTCTCTGCAACCTTAAGGATTATCAAATCTAAAGATTTCATCCTTTTAAAAAAACCAAAACAAAATACTGTTGGAAGTTCTACTATGTTCTGCAGGGCCACTATGGGCTTGACATTAGCTGTACAACATACAATGTACAACTATAAAATTCAGTGGTATCATCAAGCCTTTTCTCTCTTTTTTAAATTTTATTATTCATTTCAATGAAAACTTACAGAGACTTTGGTTTTCCATTCATTCATTGTTACACTTTTCTCCCCTCCTAACCCTCCACACTAGTATACACTACCCTCTTGGAAAAGTAAAAGAAAAATTCTTTCATTGTTTTACAAACCCTCCCCCAGGTCCACTCCACCGTGCAGCCTTCACTCTGGACTCCTATCAAGACAAAAATACCTAATAACATATCCCTTTTAAAAAGTGTTCTCCCACATCTGTTTCAATGCTGTATACATTACTGAATCCATCTTCTGCAGTCTCCCCCCAACCCCGATGTCAGTCCTGTTTTACAACAGTAGCACTGTGCAGTATTTGTCCTTTTGTGACTGAGATACTTCACAGCATAATGTCCTCCAGGGTCACCCATTTTGAATAATATTGCATTAGTTCCTTGTTTTTCAATGCAGCATAGTATTCCATTGTGTGAATATACCACAGCTTCGTTATCCATTCGTTTGTTGATGGGCACTTAGGTTGTTTCCAACTCCTTGCTATTGTGAACAAAACAGCAATAAACATGGGTGTGCATGAAAAGATCTTAACAAATTAGTAGTTACCCATAGTTCCTCCAAAAGCACTAAAGAAAAGAAGTTAATCATCCGATGTTTCTGCTACTTCATAATCATAAGAAACTTCCTCTTCAGGATACCAAAGACAGTTGAATTACAAGCACAATGATGGCTCATATAGTGCCTTTGGAGATCATGGTGGTGGAACTCAGGGAAACACTTGGTAAGATAATTGTTTCCACATACAGCCTGTAGGTCTGTATTTCAGTATTCTTTAATATGACTACTCAACAATACTTAGAATTGCATTATAATAAATAGTAAGGCATTAAAAGTCCACGAATATACCATCCCAACTGGATGATCTCACCATTTTGCCTCTGAGTTTATCTGCTCTGATATTCTAGTTCATGAAATGAAACAAAGATTTCCAGATTGTGGCAGGGGGAAGAAAACATGGTATTATTGCAGAGGAATAAGTGTCTGCACTGTTCATGAAGGGAAAAGAGCAGTGAATTAAAGGGAGGAGACTGTGATGTAGTAAAATTAGGAGGAGGAACTTTCAGGAAATAACAATGGTGGTGGGAAGGCTTAGGATCCTGGTAAGAGGGATTTTTCATGTTTTTTTTATCAATTAATTTTAATGAAAGCTTACAGAGACTTTGGATTTCCATTCATTCATTGTTGCACTTTTTTCCCCAGCCCAACCTCCCCCTGCACCCAGTTCACTCTTCTCTTTGAAAAGTAAAAGAAAAATTCTTTCATTGTTATACAATCCCTCTCCACAAGTCCACTCCACCATGCAGCCTTCATTCTGGACTCCTGTCATGACAATAATATCTAATCATATATTCTTTTTAAAGAGTTCTCTTCCTCATCTCTTTCAACGCAGTATACATAATTTATCCTATCTTTCTCTGCCTCCCTCCAAACCAATGTCAGTCCCATTTTACAACAGTAGCACTATACAGTATTTTTCCTTTTGTGACTGAGATATTTTTCTCAGCATAATGTTCTCCAGGGTCACCCATTTTGTATAATATTTCATGAGTGTCTTGTTTTTCAATGCAGCATAGTATTCCATTGTTTGAATATACCACAGCTTCTCTATCCATTCTTTTTTTTTAATCCATTTCTTTGCACTTAGGTTATTTCCAACTCTTTGGTATTTTTACAGGATAAACAGTGGAAAGTATCAACTCTGTACAAACCAATAGAATTTAAATACAGCACAGAGATTAAGATATACTGGAGAATATTCAGCTTTTATGTATCTTTTCCCACATTAATCACCCGGTAATATCCCTCCATTGAATTGTGAATTTCATGTCTAGGGATAGTGCACAATGTAAAAATTACAATGGATATAATCCTCACAATGCTATCCCTTCTTTGCTGAACAGGCTCACTGCATTTGTGCTCAAGTCCTTTGCTCAAGCCCAGTCATTTATCTTTGTGGAGACCTCACACATCACACATGCTTTCACCTGGCTTTCAAAGAGGCAAAAGGAAAATGGTTGTTTCCAACGTTCTGGGTCACTGCTAAACAATGCTCTTAAGGTGATGCATTTTACATTTCTTTTCTGGTCCATAATGAAATGATTCACCACTTGTTTCTCAATTTGACATATTACGGAGACATGGGATATCATTGCTGAAAAGTCAGATCTTGGATAAAAGCAGAGAATAAAAGATCATTACCTCTGTTTTATTGATTGCGTTAGAACATGAGTGTGTGCTTCATAAAAAATCATAGATAATAGTGCAAGGAATGGGGATTTTCAGTACATTTAATTGTAAATATAAGAAAACTACATATAGATGAAGAGAAAGTTACCAAAGAGGGTAAGGTGATACTGTTTTTTGTTATATACCATCAAGTCAGAACCAACCCATAGCTGACACTCCAGCAGATTTTCAGAAACAGTAAATTTCACTGGAGTAGATTATCTATCCTTCCACATAGAAGCTAGAGAATTCAAACAATGTACCTTGGAAATAGCAGCAAAATATTTTGCCACAAGGCCATCAGGCTCCCTACTTTCTAGTAGCAAGAAAATGATACTACATGATTTTTAAAAAAAATATACATATACACACATACATACAGATACATATATACATATATGTGTGTGTGTATATATATACATATATATGTTGTTGTTGTTAAGTGCCGTCGAGTCACAGCCAACTTATAGCGACCCTATTAAGGAGACTCTTTGATGCTTGGGTGCCCTTCATCCTCTCTGCGGGTTCATAGGGTTCCTGGAAGCAAGCTATTACGGAAGTGAATGCCACTCCTCCTTCCAAGCTTGTTTTCATCAGGGAGCTCCACCCCACTATCTGTCCGCCTTGGGTAACCAGCCATTAATGCATTTGACACATCAGTGTCACAGTGTTCAGCCTCACAGCAACCACAAGTGACAGCTGTACATGTATATGTATATGTATGTGTATGTGTATGTGTATATGTATATGTATATGTATATGTATATGTGTGTATATATATATCCCTATGAACCTGGGGAAAGGATGAAAGTCACACAAGTGTTGAGGACTTTTGTTCATAAGGTCGCTATGAGTCGCCTATGACTCAATGGCACTTAACAACAACAATGTGTGTGCGTGTGTGTGTGTGTGTGTGTATGTGTGTTTTCCTCATACTTACTCAGTCTTTATGTTGAGCAAATAATTTGAGCATTTGGACTATTTAAAAAGGAATGCACCACTAGGATTGGAATGAGGCTCATTAATAATTTATGATATGTATAGGACTCAACTCTGTGTTTAAAGTGAAGAGAAGTTGAAGCTCTTCCTAATGAGCATCAAAGACTATAGTCTTCAGTATGGATTTCACTGCAATATAAAAAGAGTAAAATCCTCACAACTGGATTGATAAGTAACATAAATGGAAAAAATAATGTCCTCAAGGGTTGCATTTTACTTGTATCCACAATCAGTGCTCATGGACAAAGCAATAAAGATGGTTAACTATTTACTGCATTGGGTGAATCTAAAGCAAAAGATCTCTTTAAAGTGTTAAAAAAATCATTTTGTGACTGTGAGGACAAAGGTAGGACAGATAAAAACTATGGTATTTAACAATAATAACATCAGTATAGAAAGTGATCAGTTGACCTAGCGGATAGAAAGAGATGCTACCAAGCCAAAGGTTCGTGACTTTTAATCCACGGCCCTCAGGCCTGTTTTTTATTGTTTTTGTTCAAACTTTCTTCTAGGTCGTATAGGCCTGGTGTGTCCACTTGCCCTATAGAGGTAACTTGTGGTTATTGTGATGCTGAGTGCTGTTGTGATATGTACTGATGTGTACTGAGTACTGATGTGTCAAATGCAATAATGGTTACCCATGGCGGACAGTGTTTTATTGGAACTCCCCCAGAAAAACAAGCTTGGAAGCAGGAGTGGCATCCCCTTCCATAACAGCCTGCCTCCGGAAACCCTATGAACCTGGAGAAAGGATGAAAGTCATGCAAGTGTCGAGGATTTTGGGTTCAAAGGGCCACTGCGAGTCGCCTAAGACTCTACTACACTCACATGCATGTAAAGTTTGGGTAATGAATTTTTGTTGTTAGGTGCTATCGTGTCGAGTACGACCCATAATGACACTGTGAATAACAGATCTGAACCCTGTCCTATCCTGTGCCATCCTCACCATTTCTGACATACTTGAACCCATTGCTGCAATCACTGTGTCAATCCATCTAGTGGAGGGTTTTTCTCTCTTTCACCAACCCTTCAACACGATGGCCCTTTCCAAGAAATAGTCTCTTCTCACAACATGCCCAAAGTGTGTGAGGCAAAGCTATGTCATCTTTGCCTTCAGGCAGCACTCTGGCTGCACTTCCTCTAAGACATATCTGTTCTTTTGGCAGTTCTTGAGACATTAGAACTTTTCTCTAATACCACAACTCAATTTTTTGTCATCTTCATTCATAGTCTAACTCTCAGATGCATAGCAATTGATGGAAAAGAGCATGGCCTGAATCAGGTACACCTTAGTCTTCAAACTGGCATCATTGCTTCTCAGTAGTTTGGAGAAGCCCCTAACTACATACTTCCCAGTATAATATGTTATCTCCTGACTACTGATAAAAAGATGTTGACTGTGAATCCAGGTGAGATGAAATATTTGACAATTTCAATCTTTTCTCCCATTTTTATTATGTTGTCTACCAGTCAAGTTATGAGAATTTTTGTTCTCTTGTTGGGATGTAATTCAACTATAGTCTTCACTATGGATAATCTATAGCAAGTTCTTTAGCAAGTAATATTGTGTCATCTGCATAATGAAAATTATTGATAGGGCTTCCTCCAATCCTCATGCCACATTCTCCTTCACGGAGTCCATCTGCTGAAATTATTTGATCAGTATACAGATTGAATGGGTACAGACAAAGAACACAACCCTGACACACATCTTTCCTTATTTGAAACTATGCAGTGTTCTCTTGCTCTGTTCAGACAATAGCTTCTTGCTCTAAGTGTGACTTTCATATAAGCATGATTAAGTCTTCTGAGACTCTCATTTTTCTCAATGTTAGCTGTAATTAGTTATGATCTAATTAGTCAAATAAATGTCTTTGCCTACTCAATAAAGTACCAAAAGACATTCTTCTGGTATTCTCTGCATTCATCTAGGATCCATCTGACATCAGCAATGATATTCCAGGTTTCACGACCACTTTTAAATCCAGTTTGAACTTAGAGCTGTTCTCTGTCAATGTACTGTTCTCATTGCTTTTGGATTACCAACAATACTTTGCTTGCATGTGATATTAGTGATATTGTTCAATTATTTTCACATTTTTTTATCACCCTTCATGGAAATGGGAACAAATAGAGATCTGGAAGTCAGTTACTTGGCTAACAGATTAGAGGAGATCCATGTTTATTCCTATTCTCATAAAAGATCCAAAACAATGTGTCCTTGGACTGTCAAAAGATTGTCTTGAAAGCAATGGATTCAGAATACCCCTTTGCAACAAGGATGGGTTCACTTTGACCCATGTATCTTGCTATCAAAGAAGCAGTCCCCAAAGTAGAGGATTTTTGAAACGTAGAAACAAAATAGTTCTTGAAAAAGAGAACTATCTTCAATGTTTTAGATGATCACATTGGATTGAGCAGTGTTTCATTTCGATGTCCAAGGAGTTCTTATGAGTCAAAATCCACTTGATAGCTCCTTAACAGCATAATGCAATGATGTTCTTATATCTTCCTCAGATTCTAGTGGTATAAATTTGGTGCAAATGTTAGAATCTAAAGCAACAAAACCTACTGAAAAGGGAATTCTTTTTTATTGGATGAAACGATATGAGGAGAAAGAAATTATTTAGTCATTTTATCATTAAAAGTAAAAGAAGGTGATTTGAAATAGATACAAGACTTTTAGAAAAAAGGAAGGAGGAAAGAAATCAGCAATATGTCACAAGGAGGGGGAAAAGACGTTTTAGTAAATTCTTCATTATTTTCTACTCAAGGGCATTGGAGCAATGGGTAGAAATAATAAAGGGCCCCTGGGGAAGAGCAAAGTTATCAAACTCTTGTTAAAAATCAGTGAAGTGTTTCAATATTTTGCTTCTCATTCTGCCAGAGTGGAGTAAATGATGAAGTGACACTCTCTGCCTACATCACCATCGCTCTGCTAGAGATACCTCTGCCTGTCAATGTATGTACTATGCCAGCTCATACCTTTACACTTCCACAAATGTTAAAAGAATAAAAGCATGAAACTATGCATCACTGAGGGAAAAAAAGGAGTGTGGTTTCATAGAATTTCATTATGGGCTACTTCACTGGAATGTAAACGATTAGATTCTTTCTGAAATCACAGGGTAAACAGTTTTCGGGCCAGAACTCTGATATTACACAGGCATGCCATGACTTTTGATCTGAGATGTGTGGGAACTGTTTATTAGCCTGATTCTGCTGTCTTAAGATCTCATTTCATTTTTCTCATAGCACACAGTTGTCCGCAATGCTTTGTTATGTCTGGAACGTGCCTGGCGATCCATCTCAGAGACTAAAGGAAGTTTTGTCTACACAAAGGCTTTATTAGCTTATACATTTGCCCTAGCAGGAAAGCAGACCATGAGAAGTGAGCTACTTGAATCACTAGACAAAGAGGCTGTGAAAGAAGGTAAGATCTGCTACAGAAAAATTAATGTCTGGCAATTATCAGTGGTCAAAAGATGAAAAAGGATGTATTGAATAGCTAACACATTACCTTTATATAATAACAATTTACTTAACATTTAAATTCTTGCAGTAACAGAAATCATTTTATTAATTCACACATTATAAACATTATGAAGACCAAATTTTGAGTTGGGTTTTTTTTTTTAACTGAACCAGATTTTGTTTCCTTGTCAAATGCCAATTCATTTTAGGTAGATGAGTTAATTTCTGGATTCTTGATACTTTTCTTTTTTTAATTAATTATAATTAAAGTTTACAGAGACTTCGGATTTTTATTATTTCATTGTTGCACTTTTATCTATGCCCACCCCTCCCCTCAATTCACTCTTTTCTTGGAAAAGTAAAAGAAGAATTCTTTCATTGTTATACAATCCCTCCCCCCAAGTCCACTCCACTATGCAGTCTTCATTCTGGACTTCTGTCATGACAATTATACCTAATCATATATCCCTTCTAAAGAGTTCTCTCCCTCATCAGTTTCAATACAGTACACATTATTTATCCCCTCCTTCACAGTCTCCCCTCAACCCATATGTCAGTCCCATTTTACAACAGTGGCACTATACAATATTTGTCCTTTTGTGACAGAGATATTTCACTCAGCAAAATGTCCTCCAGGGCCATCACCCATTTTCTATAATATTTCATTCGTTCCTTGTTTTTCAATGCATCATAGTATTTCATTGTGTGAATATACCACAGATTCTCTATCCATTCATTTGTTGATGGACACTTGGGTTGTTTCTAACTCTTTGAAATTGTGAACAAAGCCACTATAAACATGCATGAGCATATATTTGCTCACCCACTGCTTGGGTGGCAGTTATGATTTCTTTAGGGTATATTCTCAGTAGTGAAATTGCTGCATCAAATGGTATTTCTATTTCCAAATTTTTGAGAAAGTGCATAAAGCCTTCCATAGTGGTTGCATCATTTTACACTCCCACCAACAGTGGTTCCAGTTTTTCTGCCACCTCCCCAGCATTTGTTGTTTGCTGTTTTGCTACATTTTGCTATTCTTACTGGGGTGAGATGATATCTCACAGTTGTTTTGATTTGCATCTCTCTTAGAACTAGGGATTTTGAACATTTATGAAGCCCAAATTTAATACACAAATATATAACAGACACAAAGACATAGTGTGACTACCTAAAACCCAGGTTTACCCTTTTCACAATTATTTGCTTAAATGTCGTTGTTGCTGTTGTTATGTGCCACGGGGTCAAAACTGACTCATAGTTGGCCATCCAGTAGATTGTTAGAGGCTGTAAATCTCATGGAAGGCAATTACCCATATTTGGTGACTGTTTAATACCATGACTTGATTTACATCAATCTATTACAGGAGTTCTAATTCTAACAATCATGAGTTGGCTTTTTCCTTTTCCTTTTGTAAATATACATGTTACAATTATGTTCATGTTGTTCACCTTTCTCTGTTCCCAAATTTTACCATCACCTTTGAACAAAATTCAATGGGTACAAAGCACTGAGTCCTTTTTATCGCTTTCTCCCTCCCATTCCTGATGTTGTTGTGGTTGTTGTTGAGCCTGCGACTCATAGCAAACTGATATACAACAGCCCTAAACCCTGCTCTGTCCTGCGCCAATTTTATTGTCTCTGATACATTTACCTCCATTACCTCAGTCACTGAATCAATCCATCTCATCAAGAGATTTCCTCTCCTAAGCTGTCCCTCCAGCCTCCCAAGCATGAAGTCCCTCTTCAAGGACTCGTCCCTCTTTGCAACATGTCCAAAGTATGTCACATGAAGCTTTAGAATCCTTGCATACAAGGAGCAGCCTGGTTTCACTCTCTATTGGGTGGACCTATTTGTTTTCCTAGCAGTCTATGTTATGTTCAATACTCTTCTCCAACTCCAAAGCTCAAAGACATCAACTCTCCTTCTGTCTTCCCTAGTCATTGTCCAGCTCTCTGATGCACAGCAAATAATTGCAAAGACCATGACCTCTATCAGGTGCATCTTAGTCTTCAGACTGGCATCATTGTTCTTCAGTACTTTGGATAAGTCTCTGACAGCAGACTTTCCCCATGAAATTTGTCCTTTAATTTGCTGGATGCTGGTACCAAGAGTGTTGACTGTGGAGCGAAGCAAACTAAAGCTGTTAACAACCTCAATCCCTTACCCACCTATCATGATGCTGTCAATCAACCCATTGGTGAAAATTTTGTTTTCTTGATGTTGAGCATCAATCCATATTGAAGGCTGCAGTCCTTATAGCTACTAATAGTAATTATCTAAGCTAAACATTGTACTCTTCCTTTCCAAAGAGAATTCAATCCACTGGCAGCACCCTGGCAAACAACAAGAAGCTAATCAGCTCTATTATCAACCACGGGCAACTTCTGCTGAAGTGGAGATAACGTCCTATGTACTCCTTGCCTATCTTACTGTGAAGCCTGCCCCATCTTCAGAAGACCTGTCCAAAGCATCACGCATAGTGCAATGGATCACCAAGCAACAGAATCCTCATGGAGGGTTCTCATCTACTCAGGTAAGTAGAGAGATTCTGA